GTTTCTTGAATCAACTGATCTGTCTTATAATCGACATTTGCGGTTGCTTCATCCATGATGATAATCTTGCTTCTCCTCAATAAAGCGCGAGCCAGACACAGAAGTTGTCTTTCGCCGACGCTGAAGTTTGCTCCACATTCTTTAATCTCCTCACTCAGTTGGTTCGATAAATTTTCCACCATGGTCTTCAGACTAGCTTCTTCTAATGCACCCCAGAGTTCCTGATCAGCGTACTTCTCAAAAGGATCCAAGTTCATGCGCAGTGAACCAGTAAACAGAATAGGATTCTGGGTAATGGCTGACATGGCTCGGCGAGCACTTTGGATGTTAATCTTGCCGATGTCAACGTCATCAATAATGACTTTTCCAGTCGGTTGAGGCATGCGAAACAGAGCTGAAACCAGTGACGACTTGCCAGCTCCAGTGCGACCAACAATTCCTATTTTCTCCTGCGAATCGACACTAAAATTGACATCTTTCAGTATATCTGGTCCACCCTCGTAGTAAACTAGGTCCAAATTCTTTACTTGTACCCGACCTTGTTCCGGCCAGTTGTCTTGAAGCTGCTGATCACAGTCATACCCAGGTTCCTCCTCAAGGTTAGCATATGTTATGACACGTTCTACGGACGTCATCTCATTTTCAACCTCTGAGCACTGCCTGACGCCATATTGTGACGTATCTACTGCAAGTTGGAGGGCGTAGACAAGAGATAGAGCTGTAATGCCTAAGAACGAAACACCGATTAAAGCAAATAAGTTTCGACTTCAATACGATTGACACTGATCAACTTAATCCACGAGTTTAGTCTGATCGTACTCTTAAAAATTTACGGGTTTTAAAATGAGGGTAAAATTTGTATTTCGCTTGAGGAGAGTTATATCATGTAACCTCATTTTTTCCCTAAAAATAACAGTTATTTAGGATTTTTAACCTCTGACTTTTCACAGTGAAAATACTTGAAAATTGTGGAAGCAGGTATTTGCTTAATTGCTCTAAGGACACTCGAGCCATGAACACTTGAAAAAGATGCATTTTCGTACAATATTTCGGTTACTATAGAATGAATGCCGATATAATGCACAAGAGTGGTGTGTTTTCAATGTAAAAGCGCTAAATATTCTTCTGGTTAGGATGAAGAACCCTCATTCTGTAGTCACCGAACGAATGTGCAAAAATATGTTAAGTCAGTCCACGGCCTAAACTAGTATGAGGCAAACCGTGGAACTTGCCTCAGTTAATTTTTCGTTGTTGTTGTTGTTGTT